ACCCAATGACAAAATTAAAATGTGTGGCTTGTCCATTCTCTGTCAAATTTGTGCTGTTAGTATAGGGCAATCTTCACTGACTACCTCGCTCTTATTACAAGTAAAAGCTACCCCAGAAGAAAAAATGCCCTGTCTTCTTTGTTGAGTAAAAATTTAGTCTTTCAATTTCATCACATGTTCAACTCTGGCCCCAACAGTTCCAAGGATTGATAAAGTAATCCTCTGGATAAAGCACTATCCGGTTTTATTCAAACTTTTTGCGAGTGGAATAACGATTTAACTGGTGAATTAAGTGTTATCCACGCTAAATAGCCTTTTATGCAGATGTAGCCTATCCACAGACCCTCTATTTTGTCTGGTGTTTGACGAGAGCGCAAGCAAAAGTATTATTTACTGCACAGGATTTGACAAAGCTTGAACACAAGGGGGTCACCATGAGGATCTTGTGGGCTGCCATCGCTTGTGCTCTCAATGAAAAATATCCTCACAGCAAAAAATTATCTTACGATAACTGCACAAAGTCTCGCACTCTCATTGGCTAATTTTCATTGTCAATAAGTGGACAGACACATGAATTTATAATTAATGCGCTGCGTCAAAGAGCAAGAACGGGCATTTTGACAATTTGTTATCGTAAAAAACTAAATTGACGTCAGTTTTTCATGCGTCTGTCCTGTTATTGACAATGGATTTTGTCATAACATTGTCACGGTAGTCTGCGGATTCACTTGGCTGTCGCCTTGTGGATCCCCAGCTACTTTGTTATGATGAAATTCATGATCAATAACACGACAGACGCATGAAAAACTGACGTCAATTTGTTAAATGTCAGTGGACAGACTAGTTAATACTTGTGGCTCAGAGATTACAGGACGATCACCAACCCAAAGAGGTATGCTACACATTGAACAACTGGCCCTTTTTTGTACAGAAAACATTTTTCATTTACATGTAATTATATTAAATAAATAATTTGAACAGTCAGTAAAAAATCTATCATATGCCTCAACTGGAGTACTTGAGAGTCATGAACCTGCCAAAAGCCTTAGGAGAGCATCTCTTGTTCCTATAACAGCCCTGAAACATAATTATTACAATAATTAGTAAAATTTTATTACTAGGAATTCATAAGTAGACCGTTCCAATGTTAATATCAATACATGCACCTATTTCAGTATGGGTGGTATATGCTAGTGTGCATACTAGCATAATGTAGAGAAGTGACAGTGTGTTTCTTTATACATGTAAATGTAGCCTTTAAACCTACAGTTTATGAAGTTTTGTATTGCACAACTTAAAAATCAAGTGCATATTCCTTACCCAACTAATCCAAGAAATATGATTACTATGTCAATAAACCATTCACATTTTGTGAGATGCCTGAAGAAAAAAGACAAGGATCAGATACAATTAATAACAAAAAAAATTAAATAAAGATAAGTTAGCCTTGAAATTAGACTGCTAGCAGTCTCTTCAGCTAAAAGATCAGCAAGGAGCACGTTCTTCCCTTGGGATTTTTGAGCAAAAGAGAGAATGCTTGCAGTCTAAGGCCGATAAATCGTGTCCTTAAACCTGGGTCCTTCTCCCATGTAAAACAACAGTCAAGTAAATTAAAAATTCTTTGAATCAATGGACCTACCCTTCAAATATTCGAAGGTGAAAGATTCCTGGCAAAACAAACCCCAGCAGTGTACAGCAACTGGATCCAAAAAATGCCATGAGAGTAGAGAAGTTTGGAATGACAAGCACGACAATGCCTGATAGTACAACAACACAGCCTCGCAAAATACACTGCAAGAAAACAAGAAACACGCTTCTGTTATTAGATGCACTTGTTGACCAGCAACATGTTAATCATATATCAATGAAGCTCCTACCAGAGAGTTGTTGCATATCGTACTGACAAAGAAGGAAAATAAATAGAAAAAAATGATTTCATTTTGAGTATTGATTGCTAGTGGCCTGTATTGTATCCCATACTGAGCGTCACATCCAAGACAGTGTTTTGATTCACATCTTATATTGTGGGAAAACATACTGTTCAGCCAGGCTACAACTGTGTGATTGATGGGGTTGGGAGGCCTTTTCAAGTCACACGGAAAGGCTTCAAATGACAGCCATGCATCAGGAGCACAATAATACTTACTTACTTACTTTTAATACTGTGTATATGCCGTTTAAATTTTAAGCAAACAAATAGTTTTACATGTTTAATTCCCATAAAAGTTAAGAGATATTCTCATGAGAGAAACAGTTAAAAAGTAGTGAAAAACAGAGAGAAATACTGTTGACCACATTTTAGTAAGTCGTACAGTAGAATACTGGCTGCTAAATCAACCAGTCTCAATGTGCACAGTAACTGAGATATAATAAACTATACCACCTAGGTATTTACAAGATACAGCAGTTGAACAATAAACAAAATTGTCGTTACCCCTTGGTAATAACTACTTTTTCCTCCATCGGGAAGAAGTTTCTTCTCTAATAATAATACAACTGGAAACATCATGACTGCGAATTAAAAACACAGAGTCAAAACTATTGATAAATAAATCATTATCATAAATTTAAAATTTATGAACTCATTAATAATAAGTATCTGCATCAGGTTTAGTTAATTAACAGGCCTTCTTCTGTCCCCCCTCAGCCCCACCCCCTACCCACCTCCTAGGTTTTAAAGTGAATGATCAATGAATGAGTTGAAAATGTTGATATTTAAATTTTAATAATTTTATGTATAACAACACAGAAAATACTCACTTGGGTAAGTGAAAAATAATGAAAAACAAAGACAGAATTGAACTACAGCAGGAAAAGGACCTGACAAGAAAACACGTGAAACACATTTAATTAGACCGCAGTTTTGAAATAGAGAAAAGTAACACTTTTATTTCATAGTATACATTACATGTTCTTCCTGAAATTATTTGAAAGAAATGTACAACATAACTATTATCATGTGACAAACAAAAAGAAAATAAATCTGCAAGGCTGCAACTGAAAATATGAGAGATGACTGGATAGAGAAATTTTGGCTTTTGCTAACAATGTTTTTGAACAAAAACCCTTTTGGAAATGTCTTTAGGAAAAAATAACATAAAAAAGAAGCAAGAAATTAGACTGTTGCAAGTGATACCGAAAACATTTCTCACCACTAGGTAAATTTAATGTTATCATTTGCTCTGTGTTTTCTCCAAAGGACTAAAAGAAAAAAGAAAAGAAAATCACTTAAAATAGCTCTATAAGAATTCTATATCATGTAATATATATATTTATATAATAACCCAAGTTATTCTCGCATTTTGATTGGTTCTCACCTATGATCTATTAGAGGACAGATGCACGATTGACGTCATCATTACAAAGTTTTTCCCTCTGTGTTTTGAAATGGCGGAAAGTTTTGAGAATTT